GTTTTGAATTAGAACATGGTAAATAATCGAAACTCTCAACCGCGCTAGTCGTCTCATCTTGTATTTTGCATAAGAAGAAGAAATCGTTTTTAGTTTGCGTTATCATTTTAAGTTGTAAAACCACCAGATGTGCCTTATTAATATCTGCTTGATTTATAATTCAGAACTTTGTTTGTGTTGACAGTTAAACAGTTGCTCAAAGCAATAACTCGCCAAACCAAGTAGGTAATTTTGTGGTTAGAAATTAACTAACTAACCTTAAAAATCAGTCAGAAGCCACCCATAGGATGGATAGAATACTCCTGCTGGGCCCGGGGTCCCACATCCCCGAGACACCAACAAATTTAAGGTACCCTCTGATGATCACTCAACGATCATCGAGCCCACCGCTAAACACGAACCAGTCAAGACCACCGTCCTGGCTGGGCCGAGACCACGGTGGGGTGGGCGATGACAACTTAGGGTCGATGACCGGCCGTTAATTTGGGCTACCTGCCAGCACTACACGGGATGCCCCTCTCCTTAGGCTTTACATGGAATTCCAAGGACAGCAGTGACCAGACTCTCAATGGTCCAGTTTGCTATTTGGCTACCAATACCCTGGTGGAAAGGACTTACACCTCCCGGCCCATGAAGAGCAAGTATAGACTTACCCCATGGACCATCGGGAACCGCCAAGTTCATAAATTTTATACCCCCGTGGCCGAGACTGCCTAGGTACAGATCCTAGCCAGTACTGCGCAGAGTACTCTACGTCGACCCCCGGGGGGAATGGTTAGATGTTAGACTGGAAAGACAGTTTCCATTTAATTTTGCTCTCTTTTAGCACAGAAATTTACTATTAATTAGATTGGATTGGATTATTTAATTATGGCAAAGCACACGAGGGCTATCTGCCTAAGAGGAGGGATGCCTTCGTGGAGGACTTTCTAAGGGAAACTGGCTCGTATACACGTTACACATGGGGAAAACCACGAAAACGCCCATGCAGCCAGCCCGTTCGCGGGACTCGATGGAGTCGCTATTATCATTCAAACACTCTTCACATTTTCTTGTCCCCTTGCTAATACCCCTTAAACTATTATCACATTAGAAAGGAAAAACTGTATTATTGAGCTGAACAACAAATTAAACCATCAGATGTTATTTTCAATGTACGTCATCAAATGTCAGTTTTTTTTTTTTTTTTTTTTTTTTTTTTTTAGGGTTCTGTAGTAGTAAAAAGTAAGTTCCGTAGAACAAAATTTTTCTAACTCCGATTCTGGAGTACTGTACTTTCAGAAGACAAATTAGCTCATTATTAATTGCATCAATAATTGCTCAAATCATGCGCAGCGATTTGAAAGTTGGTTCTGCCTAAAATCCAAATGATAATTATTTGAGCACATTTACAAATGTGCTGATACGAGTTTCTGCGGATTTTTGTAAGCCAAAATACGTAACGCAGCCAGTGATTGATTCTGATGTTTGGGAAGAATGGAAAACTAAACCATGAATCCCATTGCGCAATTTCGTACCCTAACGGTTGATACCAAAGTAGTGACGTTTCGTAAGTTGGGGGAAGAAAATCAGAAGGTGGGTCACAACAGCGTCCCCCCAATTCTTTTTCATAGACATCCTTGGAATGTCTGTGCGGTGGGTATGGTGCGGTAGTATGTATGTATGTTTTCCCGGCCCCGTACATATTCTGTTTTCATTATACTCGTTATTCAGTTTAAGCTTCTTTCTCCCCCCCTGTAAGTCTACCTCTAACTTGAAAATGAATCAAGGCTATCTGAAATGTTTACGTAAACACCCGTTATTTTATTTGTCTCGTAATTGATATAGAGGGTAATGCGTATTTCGTATAATATAAAACATTTCACGAGGATATTTAGCGCCTTTATTTGTATGTTTTCCTTATATGGTTTGATTTAGTTTAGCATTCTTCTGTGATTTTTCTTGTGCTTGAAGATTACAGACAGGTCCTACTCAAGCATTTTCGGCCCTCTATTCGTTCGAAAAATCGGCGCTCCAGGTGGCTGCCTATGCTTGTAGCAGGCCCTAAGTACAGGCATTTAAGCATATTTTAAATATCTATGAGATGAGATTTCTCGAAGATTTACTAAAATCATTTAGTAATTTGCATCCATCCTCTAAGAACATCATAAATTAAGAATGTAATTAGCAAACTCTTTCAGTTATACATTTTGTTACTTGTATTGCTATCTAAAACACGGTTGTTACTGAATTTCCAGTTAGTGGCAGAATTTCTGTTAAAAGCGATTAACTGTGATTCTACTTAATATAGAGTCTTATCAAGATGTACTGCATTCATCGGTAGCAGGCTTATATCCTGGCAAAGCATCAGTTTTCGTAATAGGTTGAAGGAAGAGCAACCTTAAGTGTGGATCCTCGGCTAAATGGAGTTCATGGAGTTCAGGAATTAAATCTTGTTCTTTAATCGCACAATTTCAAAACTGGCTGATTATGAATTCGGAAGTAGTTGAGCTGGAAAAAATAACATTTCATTTACTTAAGATATTGATATAAATTACTTAAGATATTACTTGATATTACTTAAGATATTGATATATAGAGTCTTATCAAGATGTACTGCATTCATCAGTAGCAGGCTTATATCCTGGCAAAGCATCAGTTTTCGTAATAGGTTGAAGGAAGAGCAACCTTAAGTGTGGATCCTCGGCTAAATGGAGTTCAGGAATTAAATCTTGTTCTTTAATCGCACAATTTCAAAACTGGCTGATTATGAATTCGGAAGTAGTTGAGCTGGAAAAAATAACATTTCATTTACTTAAGATATTGATATAAAAAGAAATTCATTAATATGATTTAAAATTATATTACTCAGATAAAAATATTCAATTATATTGAAATTAGTTCAAATATTTTTATTTTTAATTGTGTGTCTAAAGTAACCAATTATATTCATTATGTTGCATTATACGGTTTTCTTAGTGACGCCATAGAAAGTTATTGTCTTTCTTTAGAAACTGAATAAGTCAGTAGAGTACGTTCTGATATCAAAATAAGGCTGTGATATCATTTTAAGAACGTCATTTGTGATTTCTGATTTATTAAGTAATCTGTGACTGAGTAAAAGATTTGATCATTCGGAATTTAAACAAGAGGTAGCTAAATGGAGCCACTTTAACTTGAAGAACCAGGAAAATGAGTAAACAAAAAGTAACACATTTAGAAGAAAAGTGATAATGAATAATTTTCATTTCCACTATTTTACGGGTATACTGAAAACAATTTTAACTCCTTGGGTATGCTGAAAATATTTTGTGTTAGTTGTATATTTTTATTACAAAGATATGCTTATATAGCAAGTATAATGGACGATTAGGAGTCGTGAATTTTTTGTATTTTCCTTATAACTTTTATTTTTATTGCATTCTGTGTTCCATATGGTGATACAATACATCATTCTAATCATGTGTCAAAAGTCTTTCGAGCATATTTAACTGTTAACATCAGTCTAAGATTGCAATAACTGAAATTTCATTCTCTAATAAAACTTTAATTATATGCTGAAATTTAGATAATTTAGAAAATGCTAAGGTATAAAAAATATTGGATGTCAATAAACTTATAAGAAAGAATAAAATCCTCAAAATTATTTAAAAAAATTATAATGTTGGACAATTGCAGATCTGAATTTAAACAGGACAATAATGGAACCTATGGATGACGTCAGTATTTTAATTAATAAGAATTCCTGTTTCTGGGGAAAAGGCTAAATATAAGCTAGTTCTCTTTAGCATGTCTTCCAGGATAGGCTCCCTCTTTTTAGGCAGATAACTGTTGCATGCCGTACCTTAATCATTTTACCAACCAGCCAAATTATAAATTTTTTGAAGATCTACATTACTTGTTGGTACTTGAAAACTTTAATTATTGCTTATTATAGTTAACCAAATGCTGCTACTGAAGCTTTACTTCTACTTCAGAATTTCTGTTAGAAACAGTTTATTAACTTAATAAAATGTTATACGATGTCCGCTTCAATTTAACCACTAAAATGTCCGCTTCAATTTAACCACTAAAAATTCTTTAAAATCTGGCTTTTTGTATCTCTTCATTGACTTTTTGTTTCCCTTTATAACTCACGAGCTTTCTTTATTTGTCCATTAGTGCAGAAAATGCCTTAGAAGCAAATACATAAAATTCTTTCCAAGAAGAGTACTTTAGAAATTGGAGGAAATTTCGAGTTTGGGGAAGATATCAAAAATATGTCATCTGACATCAGAAAAAAAAAAAAAGTTACTAAACTTCATAAAACTTTAAAGTATTTTAGCTTTGATTAATGCAATTATAAAATCATTCTAGGCTGAGTGTGCATTGCCTTAATACTATGTTTGAAATATTTGACATTAACAGTTTTCATTGCTTTTCATTTATGGGTTATATTTTTAAAATCAATTTCAAATCATGTAACAGCTATATTTTTTAGAGGAAAAAAGTTTCTAAGGGAAGCTAGCTGCCTTGTGCTCGCATTAAACATGAGGATATTCAAAAGAAACCTCATGACCGGTATTCAAATTCATGTTGAATTACGAGTGGTTTCAGCAGTCATTCTTTTAATGTGAGATTAAAATTTAAGTTGGTGCTGGTATATAAATATTAGATTAAAGAAAATCAGTTATGTGTAGAAACAAGGTTTCTGAATGATGAAACACCTTTTGAAAGATATTGCTAGAGAAGGTCAGGAAGCAGTTGTGGAAAAGTCTTAATATCTCCCTTAATATTTAATGCAAAGTATTCAGTATATTGTTATATTAAGCATTTGGATTTATTGTAAATATTGTGAGAAAAGACATTTGAATTCTATGTTATACTCCAATAATTTCACTTTCATAAAAGATTGTTTTAGGGTCTTTATTTGAGTACATATTCTTGATTTAGTTCAATGTTTTGATTTAACTACAGTAGAAAATATATGTGTAAAATTTCTTTGCATTAGGGTAATTAATTGAATATTTCTTAATTTTTAGGTTTCCCAGTCCCAACAGCAGTTAATTATGAGTCAAGATATGAAGCCATCAATTGCTCAGCAGCAACAACAGCAGCATGTTCAAGGTAGAGGATTCTATGGTGGCCAATCTGCAGTACATATGTCACAATCACAATCGGTTAATTTCCAGTTTTCAGGTTCTTCAAGAAGTGCCAGTCCTACTACCAACCAGCGACCATCTCCAAGTCAGATGAATTCCAGTGCCTCTGGGAGGCATGTACAGCAACAGTATATGAGCAGACCTCCTCCGGATTACCAAGCTTCAATTGAACCTAGTGGTTGTAACAGTGGTCCAATTAACAATATGCAGTCTGGTCTCCTTTCACAGAATCATCAGATGCAAGTGAATATGCCAGACAATATTAACATTATCAATGATCAGAGTAATAGAACTATTGATCATAGAAATAACACACCAGTATCTGTATCTCAGTCTTATGCTGGAATCATACCTATTTCACAATCTGTTCCAATACCATCTTCCCAGTCTTATTCTGGCTCTGTTCCAAATTCAAATGTTTACTCAGGTTTGACTCACATTTCAAATTCCCCTTCAATTTCGGTGTCAAAATCTTACCCTGGTCTTATTTCCATTTCAGATGCTACTTCTGTTTCTGCATCTGATAAATCTTTCCCAGGTACTGTACCAATTTCAGATGCAACATCTGTTTCTATATCTAGACCTTACACTGGTATTGTACCTGTTTCAAATACAGTGCTTCTTTCTTCATCCAAACCTTATCAAGGTATGGTGCCTATTTCAAATTCAACTACGATTTCTGTATCAAAGCCATATCCTGGTATTGCGTCCCTTTCAAATTCATCTGGCACTAAAATTTACTCTTCTATGAATCCTGTTTCAAATGCAAATCCTGTTTCTGTATCAAAGTCATATCCAGGTTCTGGACCTATTTCTTCTGCATCTGCATCACAGTCATATACAGGTGTGCCTACATCATCATTATCAGAACAAGTTCCAACACATTCTTTAATGATGCCAACCACAACTACAATAGCACCCACATATTCAGTAAGCAAAGGTCGTGGCGGATCAAAACAAGGGAATTCTCGAACATTTAATAAGCAGTGTGGTCCATTAAGGCAACATAAAGCACCAAATGTGAATGTTGGACCAGAAGGCCTTAATATATCCCAAAGAACAATGGATTGGCGGCATACATATATCCAGCATCAGAACCAGCAACAAATTGTCACGCATGTTAATCCTCAGCTACGCATGTCATTCCCAAGAGGCATTGCACAGAACTATGGACAGAATTTGGGTATTGCCAATGGAAATAACTTCCAAGTCCACCACTTAAATCCAAATTCACCTGCTAATAACAACAGTAGGGTTGTAACCAGTTCTCCTATAGCAGATCATTCATTGCCTATCCAGCAAAGTGGTATTCATGATATAAATTCTTCAGTAACAAGTCATGTTATGTTGCAACAGCAACAACAACAAGTTATAATAAACAGTGATAATAACACTCTGCTTAGTTCATCCAATACGTTACTCAATTCATCTCATATTCAGATGGGTAGTTCTGCTAATTCTGGAGGTGATTCTACGAGCCAGTCACAGCAGCAAGTATTTTCCACTTCATCTCCATCTTCAAACAATTCATCACAAGGTATTGTGCCTGATGGTGGACAGTTTAATTTAGATTTCTTGGATAATCTTGATTGCTCAACATCTGATCTACTGAATTTTGATGTTATGCAAGGTGGAAGCACTACTTTTCCATTGTTAGAAGATATGAGTATGCTAGATAAATGAAAGTTAGTGACTTGAGGAGTGAAAGCATTTATGAAATGGCTCCCATCTTATCACAATTGTCTATGCTTTTGCTCAAATGCTTGTGTGTGGATTGTGAGTTTTTCGGTGAAGGAAATGTCAGTTATTTCATCATTAATTCCTGCTGAATTGTGTAACTGTTCTGTTTTTGAAGACATAAATTGTCATTAACTATCTGTATATTTAAGTTTGTTAAATACTTGTAGAAGTTTTTTATGAAGTTTTATGAAACAAAATTAAATGAATACTTGGATTTCTGCAGTCGGTAATTTTGCCAAAATTTTTAATTTGCTAAAAATGTGCATATGCTAATTTTATGTTTCATTTCAAAACTACCATAAATTTTTAAAGTGTTTTAGAGATTATAAGCATTTACAAATATTTGTTTCATCAGCCACGATTTGCTTTCAGTTAGATTAGTGAATCAGCTGATGCAATATTTGTATTATTATTCTAGTTATTTTATTACAGTTAGTGTTCAAGATTATCAGACCACACAAAATTTACTTTTCGAGACTATGTTAAAGGATCATTTTCATATTATAAGCTAAATTTTTTAATGTTGCTTTTCCTTTAAGAAATAATTATATATAATCAAGTTAATATTTAAATCAAATTGAGAACTAAACCAACCAATTTTCTTAGAGCATTTAAGAAGAAATAACAAAACACTCATAACTCAAATTTTATCTTTATGTGCATTATGCATAAAATTTTATAACAGTGAAATTGTGCTGTAAGAATATATTTCTTGCAGTGCCTTATTTTTAAGAATAACTGATAAGAAGATGCTGTAAGAAAGCGTAGACTGCTATGAACTGTAGAGTTTGCTTTTTAAAAGCTTGTTATTTATTCATTGTATTCATTTACATTGTTACTAGAACTACTCTGAATGTTTTGAAACATTTAAATGGCATGTATCTGTATGTGTATGCATGGTTGTCTGATGTAATTTAAAATGTTCAATTTTCCATGTAAAAATGAAACTTTATACCTAATGGGAAAAGGTTTGAAATAATACATGGACATCCTGAATTTAATGCATTTAGTGTCTTTATTTCAGGTACAAAAAAAAGAATACATTGTTGCCCTATATATTTAATTAATTCCTCTTGCAGTCTTGACATTGAATCTGTTATCCAATTATTTTTGGTGGTAGCTTCATGCTGATATAGTGGTTCAAATTTATCAGTATGAAAAGATTATATCAAATTTAATGCCAAACAGTTCTTACCTCAGTGTGAAGTAATTTATGCAGAAAATTCATTGTGTTAAGAAGGTGCTGTTGATTTTTGATGCCAAAAGTTAAATGTGGCAAACAGTTACGGATTTTTTTATAAATATGTTTTATAAAAACTACAAGTTTATATTACTGTTTCAAGAGTGTTAAGAGATGTTTTTAAGCGAAACTTCTTTTTGAAAGAAAGAAGGTAAATTAAGAGCAGACTTGTGAAGGTTTGTAGTCTAATTATATTACTTTTGTTGAGGAAGTAAATTGATTGTTAAAAAGCGTACTTAAATCATGTTGAAAATATATATATATCGCTTTTTTACTTGTAACTATTTAGTGACCATGTGGCTATGCTGTGTGTTGTACAGAAATTATTGCATATGCATATAGTTATGATTACTCATGAAACATTCCTGTAATTCATTTTTCAATGTTTTTAATTCAATTATTTAAGATTATTATTGTTGCATACTTTAAGAACTGTACAATGTTATGCTTTTTATTCTTTTCAATTATGTGTATAATCTTTCATGATGCATTTTGTTTAGTGTTCAGTTTCTTGTAATTTGTTTTTGAGAGCACAATAAACAAATCTCATTGTCCTTCATGTTTTCATCATTTAAGCATTAGAAAATAGACCCAGTGGAACACAGTAGTTTATTACATGAATGGATTTTTTATCCTTTTGGTTGCTAAATTTAATGTTATATTTGTAAAATAGGTGTTTGGTGTATTTATATTTGTAAAATAGGTGTTTGGTGTATTTACAAGAGAGATTAGGCGGAGTAATTTAAATTACAAAGCTAACTCAGATTAATTAATATTGCATACAATGGGAATATTACTTAAGCCTGCTTTCAATAATAAATATTTTTATAATAATAAATATTATGTCTGATTAAAGTTCAAAACCCTAGCCCATTCAAAACTCATATGAATGTTAAAATCGTACTGAAGATTATCCTCAACTACAGTTTAAGATTTGGCTTACCTTAATTTTCCTTTGCACTGTGTAACCCTATGTTACTGAAAAGAAAATTCACAGTTATACTGGACATGTATACTGGATATGTATATACTGGACATTATTTAGAATACAGAGATAAAACTCAGCTAAAGATTTATGTCTATTACTTGGAAGACTACAGCTAATTTTAACATTAACAAAGAAACAAAACAAAACAAAAAAAAAATGCAAATTCGCCACTATTTGCAGGGTTTCTGATTAGGACAGGACAATGCATTTTACAGGCATACAGATAAAATTACTCCTACCAACTTCTGAACTCAATTCACTGTTCTTTGCCGAGCATTAGCTTTTAAGAAATAAGTAAATTACTCTTTAATTCTCATAGACACAGCTTAACCAAAGATTTCAAGGGTTCATAGAATGGCTGAAAAAAACAGACCTCTAATATTGCCAGTTCCTGATCTTTAAATATTATTTACATTCGCTATTTAAACTTCATTATTTCCAAGACGACCATTTTGAAGAAGGTCAATGGAAAAATAGAAAGAAGAGGAAATTAGCATAAAATAATTGGTTAATGAAATAAGCTTTAGATGGCAATGTGTCAGAATTCTATAAACTCACAGTATCTAAATGAGCATTACCACTTTACTCTTGTAGTTTGTGTCAGTGTCCAGATGGGCTGCTTACATGAAGTTTCACCTTGCATTGTAATTTATATTCCTTCATGGGCTGTGAGGAGATCCAGGGGTTACTTCTCCGAGGCAGCACTGAGAAGGAAGTGAGCAGTAAAAATACACTTAAAATATTTGTTTGCTTTCTAAATAGATATTTAAGCATTCATACTAAATTATGTCAATTCATCCTTTATACAAGTTGGTCCAAGTAGCATGTAATTTCATTTTCCTGCTCTGGGGTGACGAAATTTACAGACTCTCAATTTAATAGTCTAAAAGTGTGAGGACAAATCCATAATTTCCATCCAGTGCGCTCAAATTCCATATTGTTGCGTTGTACGGGTTCGTGGATTTGGAATAATTGATGATAACACTTGATGAAGAATCAAAACACAATTTACTCACCAGTATTACATAGGACAGTTCCAAAGACACGATTACAGTCGTCGAGAAACTGCAATAAACACGCTAAAACAATCAACAATACAGCCTTTAGGCTATAAAGGTGAAAACAGCTTCACAGCAAAGCACTAAGGTACAGCTCCCAACTCGGTTGGGTAGCTTTCAAGCTAATCTCTGAACTCGTAACACTACTATTAAACTCAACATAGGTACACACAATGTACAGTCAGAGTTTATATAGCCTTAACCTACCTTCGAGAAAATAGCGAAGAATGCTCTGTAGAATGTTCTCTCTCCGTCTGTGGCATATCGCCAATTTTGTCGTCAATGTGCAATTTCGCGCCAAATCTGGCATCCTGCATTTCCCTGTCATTTTTTGGTAACCCTAACCCTGCTTTGCGGGGAAGCTATATTACCGCAGATGGGTATTTCGCAACAATATTCTTTCAATATGACAATGTAAGTGTTTTGCTGAAAATCTGGATGTTTAATCATTTTCTTTACTGGACACCTTTAACTGTTTCCATTCTGTTTTGGTATTGCTTGATGTGTTTTAACTGATAGATTAATGCAATGCAAAACAATTAAAAACCTAAACGTTTTAAACCCTACAGATTACATTTAAAGAACTTCTGTTGTGTTATTTTTGAAAAGGAGAGCCAAAAAAAAAAAAAAAAACTCCGAAAGAGAGACAATGAGCCAAAAAAAGGGGGGACAACTGTGTGTTGCATCAATATGAGAAAGTTTCGATCGCAAAATTCTCCAAAAACACATCATTCCTAAGCATTGTATTAGGCATTGAGTACTTTTTTCCTATTATAAATTTTCTTTTACAGAATGTGTCATGACTATGGAGGTAAAAATAATTGAACGGCTATCAGCAACCCTCAATGTGGGACCAACTGAAGCTGTTTCGCTGATAAGCTTTCCTGCCTCGCTCGTTTTTAACAAAAGGCCTAATCAAATTGTTAATTACATGTATATGCGTTTCTCAGTTTTTAAACATGTTAATAAAAACGCCGCTTTGCAGTTAAACAAAACTTTTTTTTTTTTTTTTTTTTTTTCAGAATGCTTTTTTAAAACTTAGCACAAGTAAATTTTAGAAGCATTAACGGTTTGCAATTAGCATGAAATAAAATATTAATAAATGCCTTTAAATAGCAATGACAAACATTGTGATGTAATTTCAAAGCAATTAGTTCTGTGCTGCTTAAATGTGGTTGAATAATCTAAGTGACAATAAAATCGAAATTGTATGTGTTAGTAACATTAGTAACTAATATTTTAACAATAAAAAGTAGTGATGGTAAACGTAATATAATTTTTTTTCGGAAATTCTCCGACTGGTAAATAACGAGAAACAAAAAATTGAAGAAAATAATAGATCGATTTCTGGATAAAATAATATAACTTCTAAAACTGTTTTCTCTACTTAATGGAAAAACGTAATATATATTACTCAAATATCTTATTCCCCCTGAATTTAAACACTTATGTCATAACACCGTATTCATGTTACGTATCATCAAAATTTTAAGCATTATGAAATGTCTTAAATAAAAAGTACAAGATAGATTTTTAAATGAATAAGCCGAATTTGTAAAGTTAGTCCTAGAATTTTAAGGGGATTATAGATTGCTATGGTGGTCATGTAATGTAAATGCCTTCCTTCATTATTTTCTTTATGTAATATATATAAAAATGATATTACTACTTTGACTAAACATTACTTTTAATACTTTTTAATATACATTACTTTAAATTACTTTTTAATAAACATTACTTTAAAACAAACATTACTTTTTAATACTATTTAGTAGCTTTTTTAGAGAGAGAAATATAAAAATGAAATTAAAAAAGCCCTTACATGTAATCTTGAAAATTACTTAAATTATTAAAAAGTATATTTTCAAAATTCATTCTAGCTTAAGAAATTATAGCAAAAGAATTAAAAGGTGCTAATTTTTTCTACCTCACCGGCTTGACAGGAAAGTGGTCAGTGACTCTGACTAACGTACCGAAGTGTCTGGGTTCGAATCCCGGAGAGAACAGGGATGTAATTTGTCCGTCCCTTCATAAGAGGCAACAGTGAGTCACTTCTTAGGTGCATCCATAATAAAGTGACCACCGCTTCAGGCCTTAGTAGTGGCCAGATCCCGCCATTGAAAAAAAAATTGTGTCTATATACGCCTGTGAAAGCTTAAACCTTTATTTTTTTTCTCAACGGTTCTTTCAGAATATCTAATAACAGGATAACAAATCACTTTATTGCTTTAAATGTAATATATATATATGTTATCGTGAAAGACCGAAATTGGAAAATGTCGACTTTCACCGGAGATGTCAACATTCACCAAATACGTCGGTGAAAGATCGAATATTTCTTTACATTGTTGTACATTCGGACCCTCACCGGTGTATTTCGACAATCACAGATATGCTTTGGTGTAGGTCGAAAAGAGAAGAGTATATGTACACGCTGCTATTCCAAAAGGAAGTGTTCCACACATAAATGCAGTTGTAAAAGCGAGGGCCTCTTGTGCAATTCAAAGTGTCATAATAGTTTAAGTTGTTGCAATAAATAAGATTTGAATCACATAATTTGGTAAGTTTATAACTTCTATTATTTTCCTTTCTCATTTTGAATGTACTGTGTGTTTTAAGTTCTTATATTCTTAAGTTCTTATTCTGAGTTTCAAGTGCGTGTTTTCACGAATGAATTACGGAGAAGGAAATATAATATTCTTATATGTTCAACATTCACCATTAGTACATGGTGAATGTCGACATTCACCGGTGTAAGTCAGAAATAAGAGTATTTGGAAAATATTTCGGGCATACACCAAGCGACTATGTGAATGTTGACATTCACCGGTGAAAGTCGACATTCTCCAAATTTCGGTGTTTCACCGTAACATATATATTATCCTATTATTATGTTTCTTTATATATATATATATATATATATATATAATACTGTCGAGAATATCATTGACGCGCATAGCACATTGCAGAGAGGGCCGATAAAAAGAAAGTGACGTGTTAGTTGACTCGTTTCCGCCCTCAGATTTCGGGCTGGATGTTCGTTTAATATGTCCTACCTCCTTGCTCATGACTATATAGAATTCAAAAATAAAAGATATCTACCAATAAGACTCTTCTCCAAGAAAAGTACTTGTTTATTTGGTAGTATTAACAGAAATGGTCATCCTATCCATTAGCAACGTAATGTTTGTGATTCAGTTGTTCCAAAATTCACTGTATCCCTTTAATTACTTTTCGTTACCCTTCCATAACATTGTCTTCAAATACAATAGTATTTTTGACATAATTCTATGCTTTTATTGTCAGTTTTAACTTTCTGCTTGTTCATAAATCAATTCCTACAACTGTGTGTTTTCTTTTTCCTAATACCTAAATGCATCTTAATTGTGCATTTTTTCCATTTTTCGCTATGAGCAAACATACTCTGTATTGAATATTATTATTTAGTTCTAAAAATATTGATTACAAAACATCATAGCATATTTTCAGTCAAATTTAGTAAAATCTC